TTTACCATAATTTACTTACCTCAATCGCACCAACAGCACCCTAATCCCAAGTGCTAGAGGGCAGAATAATCAAGTACCTAATCAAAATATTTCCCAAAATTAATACCCATCTAAAACAACACATTTAATCCTTTCCCAATAGCTGACACTTAACCCCCATAATACCCCATCAAATTCTCCCATTTACTCACGGACAACACATGGAGAGCATGGCTTGGCAAACCACAACTCACACACACACGGGACTTTCTCTCCAAAACATCACAACAACCTAATTAGCAAAATCCCTACATGAATTTAGCAAGAAAAATCACCTCACTTGCTGTCGGAATTCTCCCCTTTTTCAGCAGAAAATCCGAACAGCACCAGGGCAATTTAAGGTAGGGAATTCAAATATTCAAGGCAACAATCAATTGACAAAATCCAAGCTTATGGAAGCTATCATCTTACCGGAATTTCTAGCAAGCAAAACCAGATCTGGCGGTATGGCAGGGGCGGGATTCACAAAGAACTAACACGAAATTGACAGAAATAAAGTAATTAGAATGAACCCAAGCCAATTTAGAGTTGAAGAGAGGAACTCATGGCTGTGCTTACCGGAAAAACCGAAGGATCCCCACCCAGCAGGACTCGATGGATAGGGGAGGAAGAGACCGAGCAGATCTGGGGAAAATTCTGGGTTTAATGAGGGTTCTAAGCCCCAAAATCAGTTCTTGAACAAGAAGGAAGGAAGAAATTTCAAGTCTTCTACCGGTTTTCAAAGGAGGAAGAAGTCGGTGGCTTAGGGGGGGGCTGGTCGGGGAGGCAGAGCATCTGGGAGAAGAAAAATGAAGATGAAGAAAAGCAAAACACGTGGCTGAGGACAAAAATATCAGCCTTGGTCCTTATCCAAATTTCCTTTCTTTTTAGTCACTCAACTTTTAAAAATTTGACTATTAAGCCTCTCAATAATATTTCTCATCAAATAATTCCCTTACTCACACTTTAATACTCCAAAAATTTCGGGGTATTACATTGGTTGTGGATTTAAGGAATTGGTCATTATTTTTTGTTTTGTAAGAAAATGGAGAAATTTACTTTTATTTTAATTATAAAGATAGGGGATTGGGAAAGGGATAGATGGTGTTGGAGTATTGCATGGAGAAGGGAGAGAAGGGGTAGGGAGAGGGATGAAGAGGAGTTGTTAATGAAGTTGCTAGGAAAGGTTCAAATAAAGATTGGTGGGGTTGATGGTTGGAGATGGGTGCATGATTCTGAAGGAAACTATGTAGTGAAGAAAGCTTATGAGTTCTTAGCTCCTTTGGAGTTTGTTTTGCAGGGCCAGCTTTGTAGATTGGTTTGGTGCAACTTAGTGCCATCCAAGGTATCTTTTTTTGGGTGGAGGTTATGTCTTGATAGACTTTCAACAAAAGGGAACTTATACAAAAGAGGGGTAGTTATGCAAGAAGGAAGTTTAATGTGTAGTTTTTGCAATGAGGCAATGAAGGAAATAGATCATTTATTTTGTACATGTAAGGAAGTATGGTTACTATGGGCAAAGGTACTACATTGGTGGGGGGTGAAATCTGTGTTACCAAACTCAGTGGCAGCCATAGCTGAATTTTTCTGGTCTAGTTTTGGTAGGTTGGTTGGGAAAGAGATGGGTGCTTGTATGTTTCTAATAGTTTCTTGGTATTTGTGGTATTGGAGAAATGCTATTGTGTTTCAAAATAATGGGAGCTTCAAGGAGAAATTGTTGGATATGGTTCAAATCAAGTCCTTTTCTTGGATTAAAGCTAAGAATATTGACGCCATGTTCTCCTTAATTTCATGAATGGACGGGTGACCCAGTTGCTTGTGCATTGGAGGTGAGGAGGCATAAAAAGGAGCTAAAGAAGTATTTGAAGCTGAAATAGGGTCATATATGATCGGCAGTGGGGGCTTGATTGCTTTTGGCGCTGACGTGTTTTTATTATAAATGATGTCAGTTTTGTTAGGTCTTTATTATGATGGTTTAGTCTTTCTTTGTGTAAATGGGTTGGAATACCCTTTGTACTCCTATTAATATTATCTTAATTTGCTGATAAAAAAATTATAAATATCAAATGTAAATCACAATAATTATTTCTTTTCTCATACTCTAGATAAACAATGCAATTTTCTTTGCCACTTAATTTTGGCAAATTTTAACATCGTTTTGCTAACCAGACAGTAAAAATTATTTTTCATAAAAAAATTTCTAGAATATTTCAAATAAAGAGAATAATTTCTTTTAAAAAAATAATTTTTCATAGAAAAATATATTCTAACATGTAGTTATTTTCCACCAACTAATTGTACTCTCGTATTTTCTTTTCTACGTTGTTTAATTGCAATATCACTCCATCACTAGCTTTCATCTTTAATTCGTTGAAAAGAAAAGCTAAAGCGAAGGTAAACTCCTGACTAATCTGTTGGTTTAACACAAATCTCCTCAATTAGTTTAATTTATATTTTTATAAATCTTAATTATGATCTGCTTAGTACTACCTCAAGTCTAATTTAATTGTCACCTAACCTATTTTTAGGACATTTTTTATAACAATATAAATTGAATTTTTTTAAATTTCACTGTATATAAAAAATATAATTACTATTTATATAAAATATATAAAAAAATACCCACAACTACGTGCAATGACGGCTATAAATTCTGGAGGAAGTATAATACTCCAATTCAAT